AGGTCTTCCAGCTGCCGATGGAGTCCTGAGCGCAGTTGGTCCACGAGGGTCGTGTTCCAGGTGACAGAGGAGTTCTCTGTGGACAAGAGGTTGGAGACCTGCTGGAGCATCTCGTGGAGGACAGCGATGGCCTGGGCCTTCTGGACCTGGCTGCCGTCCACCGTTGCCCGGGGGAACCTGAAGTCCTTTCTGTCCTTCAGACAGAAGAAAGGGGAGATTGTGCTCATTTGGCTCAGAAGCTCTAAGTTCTCCCTGCTGAGCAGGATGTGGTCCTGAGGCAGGTCACAGCCCAGAGCTCCCCCGGGGCCAGCGCTGAACACCACCAGGGCGGTGAGTAGAGAGAGCAGGAAGGCCATGGGCGAACGAGGGTGCTGCTGGCCTGGCTGAGCTGGGCGTCTGGAGAACAACCTTGGGCCAAAAGTTGTGCAATGACCTTCTTTCTAAGCATGGCCCTTAAATAGGGAACACAACGGTTTTCATTTTCTAAACATTTCTTTCCACTTTCCCTTTTTTGTTTTCATTTAATCTAGTGGTCTAAGAAAATGTCATCAATCTACACTGCTGATAATTGCCATCTAAGTGGATACCTATCAGTCAAATGAGAAACGTCTTTGTCCCAAAGTCAAAGTGTAGGTAGATGTGTAAATACTCACACAGGTACATACTCTCGTATATAAATATATTACATAAATATTGCTCTTCTTTGTATTAGAAATAAAAGTTTGCCTTGACTCTGGGCAACATGGGCGTCACGCTCCCTCATCTCTGTGGGTTTGTGTGTTTTGTCAGGTACTTACCAGACCATGGTTGATAAATAAACTCTTTAGAACCAAGGACTGAGTTTGGTTACTATTTTATGCACAACAGGTATGAGGTTTTTAGTGAACGAGTTTCTGGAATGTTTCTCCTCTAGAACCCATTCCTGCAGGGCCCTGTGGTTATGCCTCACGGGGGCCACTAGGTCAGGACTTCTATAGACATTGCCATTTCTTTCCAGCTTTGGAACTGGTCATTAATTCTCCTCAGGCTGTGCCAACACCCCCAGCAGGAATCCAGGTTCTTTGCTGGTGGGTGTAGGTGTGGAGATTCTAATAACAAGATAGTAATATGTTCCCAGCACCACGGACAATATCAGCCCTAATAACGCTTTATTCTGGAGTGACAGTGTCCTCAGCCCAAACTCTCCTGGACTCCCAACCCCCTGAAGGCAGGCTCACCCCATCCTGAGGTCCTTAGAACTCTCCCCAGGTGGAGGGGCTTGTGTCCTTGTTGACAAAAGAACCTGTCAGGACCCTCGCCCTTCCCCTGGGAGTGTTTGTGTGAAGGGCATTGTCCTCAGTGGTGACCTCCTCCCCTCCTGAGCCAGGACCCAGGTGTCAGTGGGGCCCACAGCCCTGAACGCTGACAGCAAACGTTAGTTTTGTCTAAGTAGGTGGAGGCATTACTTATGCGATTGCAATCATTTCTCTTCAGTGGGCTTTTCTATCCACTCATCTATTGATGGGCACTTGGGCAGGTTCCAGACCTGAGCTATTGTAAATTGTGCTGCTATGAACATAGGAGTGCATACATTCTTTCTAATTGGTGTTTTGGGTTTCTCTTAGGATATATTCCCATAAGTGGGAGCACTGGGTCAAATGGCAGTTCCGTTTTTAATTTTTTGGAGGTAACTCCATACTATTTTCCATAATGGTTGCACGAGTCTGCATTCCCGCCAGCAGTGCACTAGGGTTCCATTTTCTCCACATCCTCCTCAGCACTTGTCATTTGTTGATAATAGGAATTCTGACAGGTGTGAAGTGATATCTCATTGTTGTTTCAATTTGCATCTCTCTAATGATCAGTGACTATGAGCATCTTTTCATGTATCCCTCGGCCATTTGTGTGTCCGCTTTGGAGAAGTGTCTATTTAGTTCCCTTACCCCTTTTTTAATTTGATTTTTTGTGTTCCTTTTATTAAGTTGTATGAATTCCTTATAGACTTTGGATAGTAACCCTTTATCAGATGTATCATGGGCAAATATGTTCTGCCACACACTGGGCTCCCTTTTCATTGTGTTGATGGTTCCTTTTTCTGTGCAGAGCTTTTTATTTTGAGGTAGTCGCATTTGTTTATTTTGTCCTTAGTGTCCTTTGCCCTAGGAGATGTATCCACAAACATATTGCTCTGAGAGGTGTCTGCAGTTTTGCTGCCTATGGTTTCTTCTAGGGGTTTTATGGTTATCATGTTTCACATTTAAGTCTTTCATCCATTTTGAGTGTATTTTTGTGTCTAGTGGAAGAAGTTGGTGGTCTGGTTTCCTTTTATGTTGTGCTAGTGCAGCTATTATTGTTCAAGTCTACACTTAAATTATTGAACATATTATGCTCAAAATTTCTGAGGTGGACACAGGAGATTCTTAGTGGAAACTTGTAGAACAGAAGCTGGTGAACTTCAGCTGTTCCTTTAATCTGTGCCTTTCTACTGGGGTCTCTGTTCATCCCTCTGTGTCTCATGCTCAGGGTGCAGGGCAGTGAGGCTCAGGCTACAAGTCAGGGAGAAACAGCCTTCTTTCCTTTACTTATTTATGATGCTTCATTTTAAATGTAAATAACAACATAGTCATTACAGTGGTTTCCAGGGCACAGTATGTCTTGCTCCTCTTCCATTACTTTTTACATAATATATATATAAATTTTTAAAATATATTTGTGTTGATTTTAGAGAGGAAGGGTGAGGAAGAGAGATTCAGAAACATGAATGATGAGAGAGAATCATTGATGGGCTGCTTCCTGCACACCCCTTACTAGGCATCAAGCCCACTACCCAGGCATGTGTCCTGACCTGGAATCAAACCATGACTTCCTGGTTCATAGATTGATCCTCACCCACTGAGCCAGGCGAGCTGGGCAATCACACATTGCTTTCTACTTCACTCTGTGGTTAATACAAGCAATGAGAAGTAAAGAAAGACAAAGGACCCTGACTGGTTTGGCTTAGTGGATAGAGCGTCAGCCTGTGGACCGAAGGGTCCCGGGTTCGATTCCGGTCAAGGCCATGTATCTTGGTTGCAGTGGGGGGTGTGTAGGAGGCAGCTGATGGATGTTTCTCTCTCATGGATGTTTCTAACTCTGTATCCCTCTCCCTTCCTCTCTGTAAAAAAAACAATAAAATATATTTTAAAAAAAGAAAAAGGGACTTCACCATTTTCTCTACAATTATCATGACGTCAAACTCTTTATTTCTTTTTTCAACATTCTCAGAAAGCAAAATTGACAGCTGTTTGTGGGCTCAAATGAAACAAATAGAATTCTGCATGTCATACAAGTGAAAGAAGGGGAGTGGCTTCTGCTGACAAGAGGACCAAGTGTCAGTTGGCAGAATTGACTGCAGCCACACAGGGCCCTGGTGCTGTGGCAGAGGGAGGGGGAAGCCAGCCCTGAGCTCCTCCAAAGTAGGGGTGGGCTGCCTCTGCCAGAGGCTCAAAGAGGAGGACCTTCTGGGTCAGGGACCAGCCACGTCCTTTCCTGTCATTTCATCCACATGCGATCAGCTCTGAGGACAGAAGGGAAGACTCACAGCCACCACCTCTCAAAAGCCTGAGACCTCGACCCCCACTGCTGGAACGAAACCCTCTGTGGCTGCATCGTGGACATTAACCCTGGTCTGGGTGCTCCATCTAGTTAATAAATCCACTCAGCTACGGAGAAGATGGCCTTGAGAAATCTGGGTTTGAGGGAAATGGAATTGCATGATCCTAAAATAGTCTGCTCTTAATCTAAGTAATAATTATACCGATTTTTAAATGATAACACCAACTCCTATTACATGCTAACTATGGACCAACCACTGCTCTAAAATCTTTAAGATGGTCACTTCAGCCTTCTCAGAAACAGGTGCCTCAGTGCAGGCCCTTCCCAGTGTTCCCCTCCTGAGGGCCTGCCTGTTCCAGTCCAGGTTTTACCTGTCTCTGTTCTGCCCAGTTCTCCAGCCCCTGCTGACTTTCATTTCCTTTCTGTTCCTAGATGTGCTCTGTCTCCTGTTCCATGTTCACCAGATCAGAGGCTACTTCTCAACTCTTTGCACTCAGTGCATCACCCAGATCGGTTCAGACCAGCTGCTGGGAGCCTAGGTGATAGTGCCCAGTACAGTCCTGTCCTTGAAAACACCCCCTGTGATCTACCCTAATTTCTCTCTGAACACCTGGGCAGAATAGAATCATGTTCCCAGAGAAATTTGGCTACACATGTTGAGTTGGTAAAGTTTCCAAATAGAAGGTACCCATGACCTACAATCCTTGTTTACACAAGAGGCAAACTTAAGAGTCCTCAGATCAGAAATGCTTGCATTGTGCTCTTATACAAACACAAAATAAAGTTCTATAACGATCAATGTCTAGATACTGTCTGTTGATCAGTTACAAGAACCAGGGTGAACTTAACTGGCAAATGTCTTTAACCAAAGATTATCCTGAAGAACCTTTGATTTAAAAAAAAATTGAAATTTTCAGTTTAGAAACAGCAAATAGCCCCTACCTCCTCCACCACCACTGTCCCAAAAAATTAAACAGTAAAAATATCACATGTAATAAAAGCACAGTATGCAAATTGTCCCCTTGACTGAGAGTTCATCTGAGAGTTTGACCAGGGGTGAGAGCCGACTGGAGGAAAAGAGGGGGACCTCCCAATCCCCCACCCTCTCACCCGCCTCAATCCAGCAGCAGCATGTGCCTGGGGAAGGGAAGGAGGCCCCAAAGGTGGAGGTACCTGGCCAGCTGTCGGCAGCCTCTAGGGACCCTACTAGTACATGAATTTCATGCAGTGGTCCTCCAGTTATGTCATAAAATTGTTTAAGAAAGCAGATCATTGCCTCTATCTAAACATAATATTGTAAATTTATGATGTACAATACATTGTTATAATAACCCCTTGATTTGGTTTCAGGTATTTCTCAGATGGTACAGAAATGTAAGTGGAGACTGTTTTGGGGCTTAGTAAACAATGCAATTGAAGAGAGTCAGTTACCATATCAATTTATTCTGAATTTGTTGACTTTTCTTTAAGGATAGTATCATGTTTATAACACGTGCCATCACTTCCACTAAAACGACCTCCCAGGCACAGGAGCTGTATTTCTTCTCCTTCAGGTACTTTTGGATTCTTCGGAAGTAATTCCGTGCGACAACTCCCAAATTGGGACAAGCCAAATTATTATTTTCCTTCTTCGCTTGGTCCTCCAGGTCCTCCAGACTCTGATGAAGGCTGGACAGTAGTTTAGAGAGGCGCTTGCGGTCCCATTCAGCAAAGCTGCGCCTTGTTGCAAAGACTCTGAAGATCTGCGCGGTCATCACATGGTGTAAACAGAGGCGTTGTGTCCTGTTCATTTGCATGATGGTCTCCATTTCCCAAGGGAATTTGAAGTCGTTTCTGTCATCCAGGCATAAGTAAGGGGGGGTCTTTTGCAGTTGAGACAAAAGAGTTAAGACTCTCCCTTTGTCTCCTGTATGGACCCAATGTTTGTCCTCCTCTAGAGAACCAGCAGGGATGGAGCAGAGCATCACCCCTGCCAGCAGCCACAGAGAGATCTGGGCCATTGTGAGTTCCAGTGATTCAGGGGACTACCGCCAGGGGGAGGCGCGGGCACAATTAGCAGCCGCTTTCCTTCCTGGGATCCCGGGAAAGCACTCTTCTCCAGCTGGCCGCCAGAGGGCGCGCAGGAGGCCCTTTGTGACGTTGCCTTTGCAGAAAGATGAGCTGTGAACGTTCCTTTCAGGATGGTCTGAGAGCAGAAGCGCATGCCGGCCTGCAGGGCGCCTGGTGCTGCTTTAATAGTGAAGGTGAAACCCTCCATTCGGGCTCTGCCACCACCACTGAAGAAGGAGCTCTGCCTGCGCCTCCCACGGACATTGTTCTCAGGAAACCAGCACTGGCCCGGGCCTTCTCCTCGCTTCCCCAGGAGTGTGGGGCTTCCCTTTTGCACGGAAGCTCCAGCGAGGCCATTTCCACCAGGAATCCGTGTGCTGGGGGGTCAGAGGCTGGAAGGAGAGCGTGTTGGGGGGTTTGCACAAAATCGGGGCGCTTTGTGCGCTGGATGTCCACAGCGCTGGATGACAACCTTAGGGAGCCATGGGGTAAAGTTAAAAACACTGGAAAGTGCGAGCATTGAGACGGCTCTTCCTGAAGCTACTCAAAATATTAAAGTACTTTAATATTAAATATAAATATAAAGCCTGATGTTTAAGAAATATCTTATATTCAAGCATCACTTAAACTTTTAAAATAGTTAAATAGTTTAGTATTAAGTAAATATCAATGTAAATTCTTAAATATATTTTAAACGTAGAAAACTCATTCTCTTAAACTTTAAAAAATATTTAAATATTGATTTAAATATCCACGTAATAGTTAAAATATTTTAATCTTAAGACATCATTCTATTAAGATTTTTAAAATGCTTATATATTGAATATTCACTATTAACTGAAAATTTAAAATGTTTTAATTTTTACCATTCAGACTATAAAAAGTCCATGTATGAAACTTGCAGTTTATATCAACTGTGTTTTCTTTGTACCTAAACAAGGATTTGATATAATTTTACTGTCTTGGCTGGAATGGAAGCAAACACTGTTTAGTATTGTCAGGATGACTTGTGTTCAGCCTGGCCTGCCTGGCTCAGCGCTGGAGCTTCTGCCTATGAAACCAGGAAGTTCTGGTTTCATTTCTGGTCTGGGCCCAGGCCCTTGTTGCAACCTGGATCCCGGTGGGGCTTGCAGTAGGCAGCAGGTCAATGATTCTCTCTCACCATGGATGTTTCTATTTGTCTCTCCCTTTACCTTCCATTCAGAAATCAATGAAAGTATTTTATTTAAGACATTATTTTTCATAAAAGGGATTACTTGTTTTTGTTGAGTTTCTTGTAACCATGTGACAATGGTGAATCCTTTTTCTTTAATTTCACTTTCCTGAAACCTCATCACAGGTTTGCACCTTGAATGAATCGTTAAAAGTAAAAATTGGTGCTGTGTACAGGCTGGAGAAAACAGTTAGCAGGTCAGATCTTTTCCTTTTCTTTGGTTAGAATTTTGTAGACTGAATGGAACTTGCTAAAATTATATTTGCACCGTTTCCCCTCCCTTCTTAAGCCTCTGAGGGACTTGCAAGTGGAAGGCCATTTCATGTCTCTAAAATGTTGACATTTTGTTCACCATGGATGTGCTGCATTAATTCATTTTTTCGTATTGCCTGGAAGTATTTTGGATCTTGATGGCTCAGATGTGAGTCCTTCTTAAACTCTGTGCTTGAGGGAAGTACTCTCCCTTCTGCTAACCCAGGAAAGAGCTTTTGAATGAGTGTTGTGATCTTCAAGGGCTGAAAACCTAGGTATGTCCCAATTCTTACCAGCATCACCCTCTGCCTCTTGCTTGCCTGTTTATATTTTCCTGATCCTCAGATAACACCCCAGAGGTGGTCTGCCTCTGAGGGTGAGAGACAGGACTATTGAGCTCATTGTTCCCACTCACAGAACAGCAGTGTTCTGTCAGGAGCTTTTCCTCAGAGCTGGTTCTCTGCATAGTGGGCTCTGAGAGTCCTCTCGTTCATGTGCCAGACACTGATCTCGGTGTAACCTGTGCTGTCCAATTTCCCCAGCACCGTTTATTGAAGAGTCAGTCTTACTCTAGTGTATTCTCTGGCCTCCTTTGTTAAATATTAATTGTGCATAGCCGCATTGGTTTACTTCTGGGGTCTCTCTTCTGTTCCAGTGATCTATATGCCTGTTCTTGTGCCAGTACCAGGCTGTTAAGATTACAGTGGCTTCACCATATCACTTGATATCTGGTGTTGTGCTTCCTCCAAGTTTGTTCTTCTTCCTCAATATTGCTGCGGCTATTTGAGGTTTTCTTTTGTTCCATATCCATTTTTGGAGCATTACTTCTAGATCTGTGAAATATGCTGTTGGTATTTTAATAGGGATGGCATTGAATCTATAGATTTCTTTGGGTAGGTTGGACATTTTAATGATGTTAATTCTACGAATCCATAAACACTGTATGTTCTTCCACTTTTTTATACCTTCCTCTGTTTCTTTTGTTCAATAGTTTTCTAAGTGTAAGACCTTTATCTCCCTGGTTAAGTTTGTTCCTAGATATATTGAGTTTTTTGGGCACTATAGTAAATTGGATTGTTGGTTTAGTTTTTCTTTCTGAGAATTGATTATTGGTATATAACGCCATAGAGCAAAGAAAACTTGTTCAATAAATGGTCTGGGATGATTGCAAAGCCACATGCAAAAGAATGGAACTGGGTTACAGTTTGTCCCCATGAATAAAACTTAACTGAAAAGGGATTAAATACATAAATAGAAGATCTGAAAAAATAAAATGAATAGAAGAAAGCATCGGTACTAAATTTATAGGCCTTCGCTGTAGAGAACATTTTATGAACTTGACTCCAAAGGCAAGTGAAGTAAAGGCAAAATAAATGAATGGGACTATATCAAACTAATAAGCTTCTGCACCGAAAAAGAAACTGACAACAAAACAGAGAGGCAACCAACGAATGGGAGATAATATTTGCAAACAGTAGCTCCAACAAAGGTTTACTATCCAATCTATATAAAGAACTCATAAATCTCAACACTAAACAAACCACCCAACTAGAACATGGGAAGAGAACCTGAATAGACGTCTCTCCCAAGAAGACATACAAACATCTAACAGATAGATGAAAAGATGTTCAATGTCACTAGCACTTTGGGAAATGCAAATGAAAACTACAGCAAGGCACCGCATCACATCAGTTAGAATGGCTATTATCAGTAAGACAAGTAATAACAAGTGTTGGAGAAGTAGTGTGTAAGGGGAACCCTCATTCATTTGGGAATATTGGTGCAGCCACTATGGAAAACAGTCTGGCGATTTCCCCACAAAATGCTGCCATATGAGCCAGCAATCCCTCTCTTGTGTATATACTCGAAAACATGTTTCACAAAGATATACGCACCCCTCTGTTCATTGCAGCATTATTCACTGTGGCCGACACATGGAGACCACCAACGTGTCCTTCAATAGAGAATTGGTGAAAGAAGACGTGGAACATAGATGCCATGGAATACTAATAAGAAAAGATGAAATACTGAAATTTGGGACAACGTGGATGGTTCCTGAGAATATTATGCTACATGAAATAAGTGACGCAGAAAAAGCTGAGCACCATGTGATCTCATATGTGGGATGTCAAACTAAACTCATGGACACAAACAGTAGTGTGGTGGTTGCCAGAGGGATGGTGTGGGAGGGTTGGGAGTGAAGGGGGACTTGTAGTGACAGAAGAGGATGTGACTTTGGGTGGTGGGCATACAGTACAATATACAGATCTTGTAACAAATCCACCCCTGAAACCTATATGACCCTATGAACCAGTGTCACCCCAGGACATTTTTTAAACAAAAGAAAGGGAAAAAAAATAAACCCTTAAATCACTCACGGGGTGTTGCAGAGAATGTTCCCAGGTGGCTTTATGCCAGGTAGAAATGACAAAACCCAATTCATACAGAGTATCTGGGGTTATAGAGATACAGGGTTAGAACTCCACTAGGCGGTACAGTATTTTATCTTAGATCCTTGTGATGATTCATTTTATGTTTCAATTGGATTGGATTATGAGCTGCCCAGCTACTTGGTCGAACTTTCTGAATGTGTCTGTGAGGGTGTTTTGGTCTGACATAGACAATTAAGTAGATGGACTGAGAAAAGCTATTGTTGTCCCTAATATGAATCCACCTCACCTACCATTTGAAGGCCTTGAATAGAACATAATGGCTGACCTTGTAATAAGAAAACAATAATTTAGCTAAATTCAATGTAACAAAACTTATAGCAAAAGGGAGGATGAAGGGCACAGTAGGAGTAGAGAGAGAGCACAAGCTGTTTCCATGGCTGGGGGATGAAGGAGAGTAACTTCTGTCCCATGGCCAACCTTCAGGTTTGCAAAATGAGCCACATGATTATTGTTTCATTTTTTCCCAGATGTAATCAGTTGGGAACAAGGAATGGCAATCATACCAATCAACTCACAAAAGACTCACTTTAAGAACACCCAATTCCTAATACTACCTAGAAAAATAATGGATGTTACTCATTTTCAATGTGCATTTCATATGATTAGTGAATCCATTCAGCACCTTGTGTCATCTACTAGGAAATATCATTACTACTCAAGATGACATAGAGGTGGGCGATGTCTCTCAGTGGTCAGTGTTGACCCACCCGTGGAAAGGTCAAGAGTTTGCTTCCAGCTGAAGGGCATGTACCTATGTTGCAAGTTCAGTCCCGGCCTAGTCAGCTGCAAGCAGAACCCAATCAATATATGTCTCTCACATTGATATTGTTCTCTGTCTCCCTTCCTTTGTCTCTGAAAACCACCTTAAATAATAAATATAAGAATGACATTACTGAGCACCTCCTAAGGTCTAGGCACTATTCTAAGCATATTAATTCATAGTTCATTCCTTTGAACACTTCTTTGAAAACATGCATGTATAAAACAGGTGTTTCTCAAGCACCTTCATGTGCCAGTCTGTTCTTCTAACTTTAGTACATGAGTTAACAAATTGGCAGATGTGGTTCCTTTCATTATTCCCTTTTTATGAAGAAGAAGACAAGGCCACAGGGAGATTAGCTTTCCCAAGTTCATAGCAATCCTTGAGAATCAAGGACAGTGATGGCGAACCTATGACACATGTGTCAGAGGTAACACGTGAACTCATTTTTTTGGTTGATTTTTCTTTGTTAAATGGCATTTAAATATATAAAATAAATATCAAAAATATAAGTCTTTGTTTTACTATGGTTGCAACTATCAAAAACTTTCTATATGTGACATGGCACCAGAGTTAAGTTAGGGTTTTTCAAAATGCTGACACGCCGAGCTCAAAAGGTTCGCCATCCCTGATCTAGGAGTTCTGACTCCGTAGTCTAAGCTCTTAACATTCTAGGAGTTTCCCTCTTCCCAGGAACAACGAGGCTGCTGAGCATCGGAGCATCCTTTCTCCAGGACAGTCCGTGTGATGGTTAATTTTATGTGTCAACTTGGCTCGGTCAACCACCGGCCACCCTGAATTTCACCTTAAAATGTACCTGGAGGTAGAGAAGCATAAATGCAGCAGCCCAGATGGTCCCAGTTTAACCAGC